CTTCAGGACTATGCATCATCTTCAGTTTCAGTCAAAAGCACTGGGAGACAGGAACTTCCCAAGAGTTTGCGGAACTAACTTGGAGTGAAATCCTGTCTCCATGCTGGGTCTGCAGCTTTTTTGAAGTTGCTGCAAGGTTTGCTTGTGGGTTTTACATTCTTTATCATGTTTTAGTTCTATGTACTGCAATAAATCATCTGCCAGAGCCATCTATTTTGTTTGATTGATTGATCTTAATTATAATAGTGCCACATTCATTCCTATCTAGGAAGAGATAAAATGTCCTCTGAAATTGTTCAACAGGCAGTATTATCTAGAAGGGATCCATGGTTTTGAACTTTATCCAAGCCCTGATGTGGGGAGCCTGTCCCCATGTTTTCCCCCCATGGTACTCTTGAGCAGGGAGATTCGGAAAAAAAAAATACATAGATAGAATTATAGAGAGAGACAGTTAGAAACATGGGATAGCATTGGGAGGGCCTGGTCAAAACCCACCAGCCCCTTCTGTCTCTACTAAAGGGCTTTTAAAGGAATGGCACAGAGTGGAGCAAAAGACCTCCCCCCATCCCAGCATAGCCAAGTGCAGCCCATCCTAAACACCTGGCAACCATGCACATGGTCAAGCCATCCCCTAATGCAGCCCTGCTGTGTAAAGCAAGCTCAGATCTCACTAAGAAGCTTTTGTGGGCTCCCACATCCTGAATTTCTGGAAAAGAAACAAAATGAAATCCTCCATTATTCTGTGTTTTACAAAAGACTTTCTGAAAAGAGGCATTCTTTTCCATATAATTTAGATAAGCCTCATGAAAGCATCTCTTGTTTCTTTATAAGGCCAGCACAATGCTCAAACCAGAGAATCCCTGATCTTCTTTTTCCCTTCCACTTGGTCAACACTATTGGTAAGGTTATTTTCTGTGTTTGTGTGTACTCACTGAGTCAAAGCATGTGCATCGCTTGTATGCAGGTTCCCACAGAAGCCAGAAGAGGGCATTAGATCTCCTGGAACGGGAGTTAAGGTAGAACCTGGCTCCTGAGCAGGAGGAGCAAGTGCTTTTAATTGAAAAGTCATACAATATTTTCTGGTCATGTTTTCCCTTCCTCCATCTCCTCCCAGGTCCACCCCACTTCCCCACCCACTCAGCTCCACATCTTCTCTTTCTTTTAGAAAACAAACAGGCAAATAAAAAATGAACCCAAACAAGCAAGAATAATAAATAAATAAGACAGCAGAAAAAGCACAACACACACACACACACACACACACACACACACACACACACACACCATAAAAACACAAAACCAGAAATCACAATACACAAGCAAAAGACCAATGAGATAGAAAAAAAGCCCGAACAAAGCCATATGAGACAAACAAAACAACAAACAAACAAAAACATTAGAGAGTTCGCTTTATGTTGGCCATCTACTACAGTCGGGCATGAGACCTGCCCTAAGGGTGGTTTATATAGCCAGTGAGAATTTCAGTGAGTTTATTTCAGAGAAGTAAACAATTTCTGTCTATTGGAGAAAACATTTTTCCTTTGCAATCCATTGTCAATGGGAGAGAGCTTCTTAGATAGATCCTATCCACTTCCCCCTCTCAGCACTAGGACCCAACCTGGCTTGAACGTGCGCAAGTCTTGTGCATGCTGCCGCAGTCTCTGAGTTCCGATGTGTGTTAGGCCTGTTGTGTCTGGAAGAAGCTGTTTCCTTGGAGTCCTCCATCCCCTCTGGCTCTTATAATCTTTTTGCTTCCTTTGTATAGCTCCCTGTACCCTGAGGGGTGGGGTTTGGTGAAGACATCCAATTTAGGACTGAGTGTTCCAAAGTCTCTCCTTTCTGAACACTGTCGTGTTGTGGGCTTCTGTATTAGTCCCCGTCTACTGCATGAGGAATTTCTCTGATGATGCTTGAGACGATCTGGGTGCAGGTCCAGTGTGGCCTGTGCTCTTGGCTACTGAACCAATCTCTAACCCCTCAACTAAGTTTTTTTTTTCTTTGATGTCCTGAACTTTCATTTCCAGCATTTGTTTGTTCCTTGTCACAGACCTCTGTCTTGCTTGAATAACTGTTTCATAGTAATTCATCTGGCTATTTGTATTCTCTTTGAAGTTGCTGATCATTAAAATAATTCCTCAATTCTTGATCTGGCCTTTGATCTACTTTGATAGCTTTTGATCAGTTACAGGAAAGTTAAGAACTTTTGGAGGGGTCATGTTACTTTGTTATTTTTCATATTTCTTGTGTTTCCATGGTGATATTTATGGATTTATTGGATGTGATGGATCTCTCCCACTTGCCAGTTTATATTTTGAAGTTTAGGAAATGTCTTAGTTCGGTTTCTATTACTGTGATAAAACACCCTTACCAAAAGCAGCTTGGGGAGGAGAGGGTTTATTTCATTGGACTCTTCATTGAAGGAAGTCAGGGCAGGAACTAAAGCAGAGATCATGGACTAACATTGCTTACCTGGTTATTACCCCTGGCTCGCTCAGTTCGTTTTCTTATACATCCCAGGGCCAACTCCCCAGGGATGGCACCACCCACAGAGGGATGGGTTGGCCCTCCCACATCAATCATCAATCAAGAAAATGCTCTTAATTCATTGGTATGAGATTTCACCCTCTTATTTATTTGTGCATTTAGAGCCATGAATTTTCTTCTTAGCACTGCTTTCATAGTGTCCCATAAGTTTGGGTATATTATACTTTCATTTTCATTGAATTCTAGGAAATCTTTAATTTCTTTCTTTATGTCTTCCTTGACCCATTGATGTTTCAGGTGGGCATTATTCATTTTCCATGAGATTGTAGGCTTTCTGTAATTTTTGTTGTTGTTGAAGTCTAACTTTAAGGCATGGTGGTCTGATAAGATACAGGAAGCTAGTCCAATGTTTTTGTATCTGTTGAGATTTGTTTTGTGACCAAGCATGTGGTCAGTTTTTGAGAAGATTCCATGGGGTGCTGAGAAGAAGGTATATTCTTTTGTGTTAGGATGGAATGTTCTGTAGATATCTATTAAGTCCATTTGAGTCATAACATCTGTTAGGTCCTTTATTTCTTTGTTAAGTTTCAGTCTGGTAGATCTGTCTTTTGGTGAGAGTGGTGTGTTGAAATCTCCCACTACTAATGTGTGGGGTTTGATGTGCGTTTTAAGCTTTATTAGTGTTTCTTTTATGAATGTGGGTGCCTTTGTATTTGGGGCATAAATATTCAGAATCGAGACTTTATTTTGGTGAATTTTTCCTGTGATAAATGTAATGTTCATCCTGATCTCTTTCAATTGATTTTAGTTTGAAGTCTATTTTATTAGATATTAGGATAGCTACACCAGCTTGCTTCTTAGGTCCATTTGCTTGGAAAGCCTTTTCCCAGCCCTTTACTCTGAGGTAGTGTCTGTCTTTGAAGTTAAGGTGTGTTTCTTGTATGCAGCAGAAGGATGGATTCTGTTTTCTTATCCATTCTGTTAGTCTGTGTCTTTTTATAGGTGAGTTGAGACCATTGATATTGATGGATATTAATGACCAGTGATTGTATAACCACTGTGAAAATCAGTATGGCGGTTTCTCAGAAAATTGGGAATCGATCTACCTCAAGACCCAGCCATACCACTCTTGGACATATACCCAAGGAATGCTCAATCATACGACAAAGAAACATGCTCAACTATGTTCATAGCAGCACTATTTGGAATAGCCAGAACCTGGAAACTACCTAGGTGCCCGTCAACCTAAGAATGGATTAAGAAAATGTGGTACATATACACAATGGAGTGCTACTCAGCAGAGAAAAACAATGACAGCATGAAATTTGCAGGCAAATGGATGGAACTAGAAAATATCATCCTGAGTGAGGTAACCCAAACCCAGAAGGACAAACATGGTATGTATTCATTCATAAGTGGATTCTAGATATAAAGCAAAGAACAATCAGACTGCAACCCACAGAACCAGGGAGGCTATATGGCAGGGGTGACCCTAGGATGACTGTGGCTTAGAATAAGTGTTGGTTTTACTCAAAAAGAAAATGCTCTACAAACTTGCCTATAGGCCCATCTTATGGAGGCATTTTTTCAGTTGAGGCTCCCTTTTCCCAAATAATACTAGGTTGTGTCATAAAAGTAGGCAACACAGTAGACATAGACTCTATATGCTGGCGAGAGCCGACCCACTTTCTTTCTAGAGTCAAGTAGTGATAAACAACTCGGTTTGAGGAGAAGGATCTGGTAGGGAAAACTGGTGCTTTAGGGAAGAGGAGAATCATTTACCAGCTAGCTTCACTGAAGCTAGCTGAATACGGGGCTGCAGATTTCCTACGCCCGCTCAGCGGCGGCCCTTTGTCCCCTCCCTCTTTCACGGTACTGGACCATATTCTTCTTGCTCCTCATTGTGGATGCTCCTAGACCAGGAATTTCCTAAGGTTTTGCTCTCAAAACCCCACAATGCTCTTAAAAACTCACTCAGAACCAAAAAGAACCTTTGCGTGGGTTGTTATCTACCAATATTTACGGTATCAGAAATTAAAATGGAAATTTCTTTTTTTCAAGACAGGGTTTCTCTGTGTAGCCCTGGCTTTCCTGGAACTCACTCTGTAGACCAGGGTGGCCTTGAACTCACAGAGATCTGTCTGCCTCGGCCTCCAGAGTGCTGGCATTAAAGGCCTGCGCCACCACCTGGCAAGATGGAAATTTCTATACTCAATAATTTTTAGATAACAGTATGAAATCACATTATATGATAACAAAATATATTTTCAATGAAAAGTCTGTGAGAAGAGTTGTATTGATTTATTTTACATATCTCTGTAATGTCTTTTTGCATTCTAGTATCTATTTCCCCATTCAATCTTATGTGCTATTTCCACTCATGTATGTATGTGTGTGTGTATATATATATATATATATATATATATATAAAACTGTTTATATATATATATAAACAGTTTGTCATGAAACAGATAAATTAAAGAAAAAGTATCTCTTTTTATAAGCCTTTTCAGATAATTATATTCCTCTTGGATCTTGTATCAAAATTTTAACATCCTATCAGTGAACTTGCCCTATTAAGTTAAACTAGAACACACTACTCTTTCTGTGCTTTGAAAATGAGAAAAAGAAGCGATTTGGGTAATTGATTTCTACTGTGGTAAAATTTCCTACAATTGGAGAGTGGTGTTTCAAAACAAAAACAAAAAACAACATAGAAGCCAGGAATGGAGGCAAAAACTAGGACATCAGCCCCTGGGCAGCCTGGGCTACATTCTGTCTCAGAAAGCAAGCAAGCAAGATAGCAAGGAAACCGACATTCATTCACTAGCCCCCAAGCAACAACTATTGCCTTCATAATCAGAAATCCAAGACTAATAAACTTGGTTTTTTAAAAAAATGGAACAGAATCTCAGTTCTACTTTTCTGGTAAGAAAAGCCTGGCTACTTTAAGTAAATTCCAACAGTTCACAGCCTTCTGTGCTCACCTGGATCACACAAGGAGCGGCAGATTCTGTTTAATCAGGTTAGGACTTAGGACAGATACTGAATAACTAGGAATGCCTTGCAGAGGATCAGAATCATCCGAGACGGAGGCTGGTATGGTGAAAACCTTGCAGGTTTGAAGCTGGGCAGTGCAAACTTTTTGCAAATTTGTGCCCACCTTTCCAAAAATGCCAGATCAGCTCAGATCAATGGTTTTTACTTTGAGCTGGAGGGCAGAATTCCTGTGAGTGCTGATGTCTACAGGCTCTGGTTTCTTAGGTGACCCCAAGGGAAACTAGACTGGAAAAGTCCTGTGTTAGGCTGTATTTCATTTCCCACCGTGGTCTCAGAACAGCTATTTGCAGTAACACAATCAACTTTGATTTCATGTAAACAGCTATTTACTTAACTATTAAGTTATTCACTCAGGGATATTTACTTTAAGATACAAAGACATGCTTCCGTTGTTATAAGGCTAACTGATTAAACAAACAAAACAAAAACTCTTCAAGCAAATAAACACCCTCCCCCATAAATCCAAGCATATAAGATACACAAAATCCTGCAGGCAAATGTTGAAAACCACATCTGTGGGTACAAGACAATAGATTTCCAAGTGAATGTAAGACAGAATTTCAAGCAAGCTTTAAGCAAAATCACAGAGGCAGGAAACTGGAGCAGACCCACCAGCAAAATCAAGCAGAGAAATGGGGCTTTCCGTGTAGAGCTTGTTTGGTGACCTTTCTCATTGCTGTGACAAAATATCTAACAGAAGCGACCTGATGAAGACTTTACTGTGGCTCAGAGTGTGAAGGTACAAGCTCATCATGGGGAAGACAGGGTGGCAAATGGACACATTTCGGACACAAGACATAGAGAGACGAATGGTTGTTCTCAGCTTGCTTTCTCCTTTTTCATTCAGATCAGGATCAAGAAATGGTGCTATCCATATTTTGGGTAGGTTTTTCCACCTCAGTTAAGCCAATCTATAATATCGAGACACAGGTGCCCACACAGTTGTCTCCCAGGTGACTGATTTTAGATCTGTTGACAATATCTACCACAATAGAAGTAGTATCAGAAACTTAGGGAAAAGAGAATCTTGATAGCAATGGTCTAACTCAGGAGAAAATGGACTATTAGATTTTGGTGACAAGTTGGGTAAAAGGCATGAAGCTGTGAAGGAAGGCCTAACTCTGAGAAAACAAGAATAATCACAGACTATAGGAAACAGCAAAGTGTTAAGGAACTTGGGGTTTAAGAAAGAGAGGACCATCTTTCTATCATTTCCCAGGTTACTTAAGAACAATTTGTCAACATAGTCATGACAGGTGGTATTGTTGAAATTATTAAGGCCACTCCACGTAGTTAAAAGGGAGGTTTATTTTGTGGGGTAACTTACAAGTGAAGGGATAGTTTGCAGGGTCTGGGAAAGGTGTGGCGCAGTCCGGCGGTGTTCTCTGGAGAACTCTGCTTGGTCTACCTCCAGCGTCCAGGGTCCAGGAATCAAGAGAGCCTGCGCATCTGGATCTCGGGTCTTCAGGGTCCTCCCTTGGCCCCGCCTTGTAGGCGTGACAGTTACCGAAGCCTCAGTGGGGGTTGGAACTTCCAGGTCAAAGCTGGAATGGCTACCTACTGCAAGATGGACTTAAGGAAGTTGCATTAAATGTAAGCATCACTGTACTCATTACTAACTCACATGGAAAAAAATCAGAACTATTTCTTATGGAAAGAGCATCAGGGTACCCAGGAATGTGGAGTCAACAGGAAAGGGCATTAGGGTATCAGGATGGAATACACAGGAACTGTCTTCCTGGTATAATATTGGTACCGCTAAGAGGATTAATAGATCTGGTGTCTTTATTCATGTTCCATTTTCTTCTCAAAATACTGTTTACGTAGTTCTTGTGTACAATGCTTATAAGCTATAGCAAAAGCATGATATCTTGACATTAGGTGACTATATTTCATTTTTAAATTTTTTTTTAAAAAATAATGATTTGTTTATTTTTATTTTATGTGCATTGGTGTTTAGCCTGCATGTAAGTCCATATGAAGGTGTTGGATCCCTGGAAATGGAGTTACAGACAGTTGTGAGTTATCATGTGGGTGCTTGAAATTGAACCTGGGTCATCTGGAAGAGCAGCCAGTGCTCTCAACCATGAGCCATCTCTTCAGCCCCTATATTTCCCTTTTTACATGCAGTTTGTGTGACTATGAAACCACTAAATTTGGTGAGCATCTATAAGGTGATCAGAATTTTGGCTCCCATGGCATTTACCCTCAGTCATAATGTTTATGTGTATAACACTATATAGCTGAATGGAATCAAAGTTGCTAATTGACTTCAATACAGCCAAATTTTCCTGGGTTATCTGAGTGGCAGGAGAAGTGTCAAAGAAAGACCGAGGGTTGTTCAGAGAGGGAAGTTCCTGAAAAGGTAGGAAAAGTTAGAATGATAAGCAAGAATCGACCCACAGTTACTGGCTCTGAAGATGGAGAAAGGGGGGCTCTGAGCCAAAGCACCTGAGTAACTTCTAGAAGCTGGGCACAGCTGATAACCCTGCAAGAAAATAACCACAAGGACCCGAATTCTACCAACAACCCACAGCAAGAAACACATTCTGTCATGGATCCTCCAAAGGAATGCAGCCTGACATGAAAGTCATGTCAAAGCTCTGACAGAGACGTTTAAGAGAATACACGTGTGTTTTATTAAACCACTACATTTGTGGCAGTTTGTTGCAGTAGCAATGGAAAACAAAATGTCAAAAATGTCCCATCTTTCATTTTGTTCGAATCAAAGCTTATCCACTGTTGGCAGTTGCTCCTGCTGGATCGGCAGAGTATGTAATTTTTGGCATTACTGAGGCCCTTGCTTGACATGGTCCCCTCTTCCTCTCACATCAGTGGTATGATATTAAGGCTCCTTCAACAACCTCTATCATAGAAACTCTTGAAGGGAAGAAATATAAAATTCTGGTTACCTGCATAAAGGAACACCTAACTGCATTATCCTCTTGCTAGTAAGTTGTTTCTCTTTAAAGGACATTTTACTGCCTGTCTTGGTTACTGTCCTATTGCTGTGAAGAGACTCCATGACTAAGGCAACTCTTAAAGAGGAAAGCTTGCTTACAGTTTCAGAGGTTTAGTCCATTATCATCACGGCAGGAAGCATGGCTGGGCATCCACAGCACTGGGGCAGTAACTGAGAGTGCTGATCTGATCCATGGGCCTCAGGAAGAGAGAGACCCGAGCCTGGCCTGGGCTTTCAAACCTCAAAGCCCACCTGCAGAGATACACTTCCTCCAGCAAGGCCACACCTACTCCAACAAGGCCATAAATCCCAATCCTTCTCAAATAGTGCCACTCTCTGATGACTAAGCATTCAAATATATGAGCCTCTGGGGCCATTCTTCAAATGACCACATCCTTTCTTTCGGTCCCAGCCTTTTCCAGGCAGGTTACTGCTAGTCTTGTGTGCTCCAAGATGGTAACTGCACACATGGGTTTCCTTAGACTGCTCCAGGTCAGAGTTTGAAAACATGGGCATAAGGGTGTATATCCCTCTTCCCTGAGGGCAACAGACACCTGTTTTTGATTGTGTCCTGTCCCTCCTCCCTTCCCCCCCAAAAGAAAGATTTGCTAATTAGTCTGTTTTGTTTTAAAGTGGTGTTGATTGAATCCCAGGTCTAGCTCATGCAAAGGACACCTGTCTGCTACCACTATGTCAGCCCCTGGGAGGTTTATGTATTTGTTTATTAACTGTTTTTCATTCTAGTCAACCTCTGGGAAAAGGTGGACTTGTAGAGATTTTTTCTTTCAGAAATAGAGACGAAGCAGGACTTGTTTGTGGCAATGGAAAAAATAATCTACATAAGAAACAGGGAAACCTGAATGGGACAGAGGTAGAGGCACAGATGAATGGCTGGATTCTGCATCCTTTGAAGGTCAGAGCCAGAGATCTGGTGTGGGTTTACGGTTGTTAGCACTCATCTGTTCTCTAGCAGATTTGACAGTGCAGAAAAACCTTACCCCAACTCCTAGTGCTTTCCCTGTCGTGAAATGAAAGAGCAGGACTGTCTGTCCTTTCATTTAAACATAGTCAACAGAGAATTGGATTTGGCCATTAAAAATAGCCCGTCCTCCAATCTATACCTGTAGCCAGGATTTCGTTATTTTCAGATTCATCCTCTTTCCTACAGTTTCTGGGTTTTATTCATTTCCCAATGTTTACACATATACGTGCCAGTTGGTTTCTTATCTTACATCCACTCACCAAGTGGACTGTCCCGCCCTTTCCCCTTCTTTTAAAGCTATCCCCAAATAAAAGAAAGATACTGTTTTCAGGGGGAAAAGAATTAAGAGTACTTTAAAATATAGCCCTGTATACCACTCCATTTTGTTTTTAGGTGATTGGAAATGGAAAATCGAATGCTAAAATAAATGATAAGAGCTGCAAAATTTATTTATTAGTTTTTAGTGTTCCTGGTTATGTCCTATTTAGAGCATCAAGGCAGTTATTGCAAAACAACTCAGAGGACTGATGAAAACTTAGTTTTTTTGTTTAAATGTATATTGTCAGAATTAACATTAGTAAGAATTAACAAATACAATCACTCATTCCTCTGCAAGCAACATTTCTACCTCCATTTAGGGCTTTTAAAAACAGAGCTGCCAGGCTTGCTTCTGCTAATCAGATGTTTCGAGAACTTCGTTAAGGTAGTGCGTGTTTGTAGTGTCAACCATACAATGTGTACCGTAGCCATTGTTTGGCCTGGGGAGTTAAACACATCACTTAACAATCATCTGGCGTCGAACGTGAAATGGTATGCCCGACCGCCAGAAGAATCAGAAGAATCACTTAGGAAGAAGGTAAGGCACGAGATACAGGAGTTCACACTGTCCCTGGAGAAGTCCTGGGACCAGTTTTCAGTGGCTGCAACCGCTCCTTTGCAGCTTTTAGCCATCAAGGGCGCGAGGTGCTGCACTGAGGCTGAGCGCGCACTCGTCCTAGAATCCGGCCCTGCTGCATAGAACCTCACGTTATCTTTTAGATACACAGAAATGCACGAGCATTCGGTGTCCGGGTGGCTTCTGGAGGTGACTCCTTTCCTCGTCCCAGGAAACCTATTCTTACCAGCCAAGTCACATAGCTCACGCCTTCCTTCCTTCCTATAGGTGAAGCACTCCCGCCCTGACCAATGGGCTCCTTTCTTTCTGCAACGGGGCGGGACCTCACGTCGCCTCTGAGGCCCGCCCCTCACGTGACGTACGTGCGTGCGTGCGTGGCGCAGACCGCTTTCTTCAGCGCGTGGCGCCCCCCGGCGGCGGCGCTCCGTCAATGCGACGGCCTGACTCTTGACATCCAACATGGAGCCGCAGGAGGAGGCGCCAACGCTCGGGGAGTCCGTGCCTCGGCCTCCTGGAGCCTCGGGGTCGCCGACGCCGGACGAGGAGGAGGAGCCGCCGGAGGGCAGCGCGCCGCTGGCGGCGGCTCCCGCGGGCGCCGACGGGCTGTGGGGGCTGCCGGTGGAGCACGCCGAGCGCAGGCCCGAGTGCAGCCGCTGCAGGTGAGCGCGGGGCCGGGGGCGGGGCTGGCGCCAGGGCGGCCCGGGAGCGGCGGCGCCCTCTGCCGGCCAGGCGGACTCGGACGTGCCTGCCGCAGCGCGAAGCCTTCCATCCAGGGCCATGCTTATTTAACCTGACTTCCTGCAAGGCTTAGTGCTTTTTTTGTTGTTGGTTTTTTTTCAGACACGGTTTCTCTGTGTAACATAGCCCCGGCTGTCCTGGATCTTGCTCTGTAGACCAGGCTGGCCTCGAACTCACAGAGATTCCCGCCTGCCTCTGCCTCCCGAGTGCTGGGATTAAAGACGTGTGCCACTGCCTCCCGGCTTTTTATTGTTTAGGGTAAAAATTTAGGTATTCTGCAAATTTAACTTTTTGTACACGTAAAAAGCATATTTCTAAGTTAAATCGTTAATTTGTTTTTTCCTGTTTGCATAGAAAATGTGTTTATTCTTGAAAATGGTTTGTTCATGGTGAATGAGCAAAGCTGATTTGTAAATTGTTATGTAAGCTAATCATATGTTCAAAGTTGAGCAATAATATGTGCCAAGAGGCATTTTCCCCCTTGATCTTAATTAAATCTTTAAAGAGTGACCAGTTAAAAATAAGACACATTAGAGCTTACTAAACGTTTGATTTACTTTCCCCTCCCAAATAAGAATTACAGTATTATACTCAGACATTTTCTTCAAATATCAAACCACATTAATTCCTTAAGTTAATTTGCCCCAAATTAATAATTTATAGTATTAGTATAAGTTAGTATGCTATTAGTATAGTATTAGTGCCTATGGAATTAAAGACTATGTAATCAAGTAATATTCTAGTTTAAAATCTGGTATTATTTAAAAGGAGTTCTTAAGTTACAAAGTAATTGAGAAAAAAGTGTGTATGTGTGTGTACATATGCACACCTGTCAGGCATGACTATGGCAGAGAGAGGACAGCTTTGTTTCTCTCTGTCCATCTAAGTGTGTTCCTGGGATCAAACTCAGGTCTGTGGGCTTTTGCGGGAAGAGTGTTTAGCTGCTGACCGCTCACTGGCCCCAAAGTTCTTTTTGTACATTTTTATTTAATGGGATAGCTTTGTGATTTTAATAGTGTTTTTCCTCTGTTTTAAGCCCCTCCTCTGTGTGTGTGTGTGTGTGTGTGTGTGTGTGTGTGTGTGTACACGTTTGTGGAGAATAGAGGAAAACCTTGACGTTGGTCCTCACTGTAGTCCCCTTTGAGGCAGGTCTCTTGCTTTGCTACTGCATATGCCAGGCTGAGGACTGTAAATGGATGTTTCCTGTCCTGGCTGCCCGGTCCCAAATAACTACCCAGAGGCTTAATCTTACTTATAAATGCTCAGTCAATAGCTCAGGCTTGTTACGAACTGACTCTTACACTTGACCCACATTTCTGTCTATGCTTTGCCATGTGGCTCATGGTTTGTTACCTCATTTTTAAAATTATTTATTTTTATATTATGTACATTGGTGTTTTGTCTGCACGTACGTCTGTAGGAGGGCATTGGATTCCCTGGAACAGGAGCTACAGACAGTGGTGAGCTGCCATGTGGGTGTTGGGAATTGAACCTGGGTCCTCTGGAAGAGCAGAAGTACTCTTAACCACTGAGCCATCTCTCCAGCTTTGTTACCTCATTTTTTACACGTCTTGCTTTTTTGGTGGCTGGCTGGTCATCTCCTCTGACTCTGCTGCCCTTCTCCTTCCCATCATCCTTAGTTTGGTTACCCCGCCTATACTTCCTGTCTGGTTACTGGCCAATCAGTGTTTTATTAAACCAGTTCAAGTGACAAATCTTTACAGTGTACAGAAGGATTATTCCACAGCAAGGGGCCCCTGAGCTGAGATTATAGTCTCAGCTACAGTGCTTGACTTTTTGTAGCTTGAGGGATTTGAACTCAGGTCTTCCTCCTGAGTGGCAAGTGCTTTACCCGTTGACCCGTTGACCCGTGTCTTCTGCCTCTGTGTTTTTGTTTTTTAGATACTGTCATTGTTAGATGCTTAGTGACAGGGATAGCTGCTCTGGCTTTAATGTTTCTGTTGCTGCTGCACATAGTAACAAACTGCAGAAAGCCCTTAGCTTTCTGCTGCATGTGGCACATATTTGTAACAAGGTGTTTCTTTGCGGTTTCTAATGCATTGATTGCTTTCCATGCCTTTGGCTATGGCCATTTGTAATTATTTTGAGATGAACCATTTTTATTTATTGTTTTTTCAGTTCTCTTGCCAAGTGCTGGGATGACAGTTGTGTCCTACCATGCCCATCTTGTTATTGTCCACGTTAAGGTCAAGCTCATATCTGCTGAATCCTTTTCCTTCCTATGACCAGATTCTCATTTCTCTTGGTGGCTCTTTCCTTTTCAGTTAGGAATGCAGATTTGAAGGTGGTACTGGGAAGTATTTACTTTTTTCCTCTGCTGAGGGTTTTTTTTTCTTTTCTTTAATTTTAAAAAAAATTCTGTTTGAAGCCTAATGAAAAGATGGGGAAAGAGAGGACATTGAAATTGAGTGAGTAGAAGTTTCAGGACCATTGAAGGAAAAAAATCCAGAAAAAAATATATCAGTACAGCAATAAAGGATGGAAAAGGATTCTTCCTCTTGGAGTATACCAAGAGCGAGCCCAAATTTGAAATCTCCCCTCTCTCCTTGTGTCTTCCATCTGCCCTGTTTTTGATTCATTTGCCCATCTGTCTTCTGTCTGTTGTCTGTGTCTGAAGTCTGTCCCTAACAAAGAGCTTTGTTAAATATTTATTGAATAGCACAGAAAACATGGAATGGGAAAGAAATGAGAAATGCTTTTTTTACAGAAAATTTTAGCAGAATCTTACAAGGAAAGGATTATTTTCCTGACCTCAAATGACCCAGAGTAATACTTAAAACCACTGAGAGATGTTATTAACCTATAGCTACATGTTGCTTCCATATGGTAGGTATTTGTTTTCTATAAAATTACTTTTAACCTGTTGGCTGATTTCAATAAATGATTCCTTCTCCTCCCCCATCTCTATCTGTCTCTGTCTCTGTCTCTGTCTCTGTCTCTCTCTCTCTCTCTCTCTCTCACACACACACACACACACACACACACACACACACACACACACAAGCAACTATTCTGAGTCTGAGGCATGGAAGAATGCATGGTTTAAGATTAAAGATCAGAGTTTAGCTTTTGTTGTAAAAACTGATTGCTTGTGAAGTCCAAGGCAGAGTTGGGTTCTAAGGGTTATATTGTTTTCTGAAAGGCAAGTTAAACAGAGTGAATATATAGTAGGGAAACGGATTAAGTATATAGTTTTAAATGGTCTCAGGGCATATTATTAACTTGGTTGCAAGGTCTGGCAAAATTTTAGTTCTGAAAGCAAGAGATATTTTCAGAAAAAGCTATTCCCACAAACAAAATAAAAAGAAGCCGGGCGGTGGTGGCGCACACCTTTAATCCCAGCACTCGGGAGGCAGAGCCAGGTGGATCTCTGTGAGTTCAAGGCCAGCCTGGGCTACCAAGTGAGTCCCAGGAAAGGCGCAAAGCTACACAGAGAAACCCTGTCTCGAAAAACCAAAAAAAAAAAAAAAAAAAAAAAGAATAGGTATGCAATAAACCCACTGGCCTTGCAAAAAGGATTAGAAAAATCAGCTCAATAGAAATATATCTGGTTGGTTTGTTTATATGGGTAAGTTCTTGGCAGACTTGCCTTAGGTTTTGAGTTGGGATAACATATTTGAGAATATATTCATCATTTTAACTGTGTTATAAGTTTGCATCCTGTGGTGGTTTGAATGAGAATGGTCCCCATAGTCTCATATATTAATGTGTGGTTCCCAGTTGGTGGATGTTTAGGATTAGGAGGTATGGTCTTGTTGGAGGAGGTGTATCATGGGGGTGGGCTTTGAGGTTTCAAAAGTTCACACAGGCCCAGTCTCTTTCTTTCTCTGCCTGCTGCTTGTGGATTAGCTGTAAGCCCTCAGCCACTGCTCCATTGCCGTGCCTGCCTGCCCGCTGCCTTTCTCTGCTGTGTGATGGCCATGGACTTTAACCCTCAGCAACAGTAAGCACGCCTCCAGTTAAATATTTTCTTTGTAAACTACCTTGTTCATGGTGTCTCTTCACAGCAATAGAACAGTAACTAAGACACATTTTGTGGCATTTAGATTTGTAGTGTTATAATAGTCATCAGAACTATATGAACCCAAAGCCTTTTCATCATCTTAATATAGATGCCGTGTCTCAGGTTTCTTTTTGCTGTAATGAAACACCATGACCAAAAGCAGCTAGCAGGACAGAGCATGGGCTTATTTCAGCGTACACTTCCAGGTAATGTCTGTCACTGTGGTAAATTAGGGCAAGAACTCAAGCAGGTCAGGAACCTGGAGGCAGGAGCTGATGCAGAGTCCATGGAGGAGTGCTGCTTACTGGCTTGCTCCTCACAGCTTGCTCAGTCTGCTTTCTTATACATCCCAGGGCCAACTCCCCAGCTGTAGCACCACTACAGTAGACTGGCTCCTTCCACATACATCAACCTTGAATCTAGAAAATTCCACATAGACTTGCCTACAGGCCAATCTAATGGAGGCATTTTCTTTTTTGTTTTTTTGTTTTTCCAAGACTGAGTTTCTCTGTGTGTAGCCCTGATGTCCTGGAACTCACTCTGTAGACCAGGCTGGCCTTTAGCTTATAGAGATCTGCTTGCCTCTGCCTCCTGAGTGCTGGGATTAAAGGTGTGGGTCACCACTACTGGCTTAATGGAGGCATTTTCTTTCTTTCTTTCTTTCTTTCTTTTTTTTTTTTTTTTTTTTTTTTTTTGGTTTTTTTGAGATAGGGTTTCTCTGTGTAGTTTTGGTGCCTGTCCTGGATCTCGCTCTGTAGAGCAGGCTGACCTCAAACTCACAGAGATCCGCCTGCCTCTGCCTCCCGAGTGCTGGGATTAAAGGTGTGCACCACTGCTGCCTGGCCAATGGAGGCATTTTCTAATGGAGGCTTTTTCCCAATTGAAATTCCTTTTCCC